CTATCGCCATCTGTCTGAACTTCGTTTCCCTAAAATTGACAGCTGATCGCCTCAATTGCGGCGTTACTAATTACGCGGAGTGAAGCCGTCAAATTGTTCCGGGAATAATTTTAAAAAATAGTGCATTAGTGTTCACGGGTCGGAAATTAGGTTTGAGAAGTGTCCAGTGTGTGAAAAAATTATAATCAGTGTTCTTGTGAGTGACAGTTAGCCACGCCATATTTACAGTGTGCCACGGTGTGGCAATTTGGACAGGGGGCGACGATAGTGTTTTTTTTATGTGATTTTGCGATCACTAAAAAAAATACTTCCATTCATTTTTCCGCTTCCAGACCTAATTTCCGACCCACCGAAATAAATGATTGATTTTTTATGACCAAAATTGGATTTTTTCATCTAATAATACGGTCGTAATTAGTAACGCCGTAAACAGTCAATTTTGATCCGTTTCCTAGGGAATTTTCTAGGGACATGTCGGGCAGAAATCCCTCCAACCGGGCCTTAATTAGGAAAACGTTCCTGATTAGCTCCATGTACCATATTTTTTCATAATTCGGAATCGGATAATTATTGTCATTTATTCTGACCATTTCCAATCGTTTCTGGCCCTCAAATGAACAGTCGCGGAACATGGGCAGAACATGGGCGGATGGTCCGCCCATGATGAATCGCCAGGGTAGCTAGATGAAAGTGCGGGTAGGGTATTAGGTTGGGGTACCGCGTAGGTACTGGGAAAGGGTTGGTAAAAGACCCCCTATGGTCATACCATCTGGCACCACCCATTCATCTTTTTTTTTATAATGTTCAAAACGGGCTTATAAACCTAAAGGGTGCTTTACAATTGGTGCATTTATTTAACGGCGAAAGTGCTGAGGAATTAATACCTTTTCTAGGTTCGTGTGAGAGTGCAAAGGATTTGTTACAGGGCATTCTAAATTTATTGGCAAATGATCTCAATGAGAGCAAGAAAAATGGAGCAAGGAAGGCCTTATTAACGTTAGCAAAAGGTAATTTTGAACAAGACTTGCCATGAGCAAATTCTGATTTTGGTTCAAGGAAATAAATACAAGACGTTGCATGAAGCCTGTCTGGGAGCAGTTGAGCTGGAGAAAACTATGCAAGGATTCCATGGGTTCGTGAAAAGCTCCACGGGTTCTGGAGGAGGCTCCGCTAGTTCCAGGCATTCTCAGGGAGGAAATCGTTAATCAAGAGGGCGGCAATCTTTCGGGATGGGATGTTTCGCTTTTAGTCAAGCAGAGCATCAAGCAAGGGACTGCAAAATACAGCGGAAATCGAATCTACCTGTTCCAGAATGATGCAGTATCTACGCATATGGAGTGACATGCTAATTTTCCCACACTCCAGGGGATGAAATTACTTCTTGTTACAAACTGAGGAAACCATGTGGAATTACTGACAATACGGGGTTGCGATTAAAAGAGAAAAGCGATGCTGCAAAGTAGATCAATAAGAATGCTGACGGTAGCACGAGGTAGAATCATATTAAAAGCAAAAGCTCGTTGAACGGTGACGCATTGCCAATGGGTCAATTCACGTGGCGATGATGCAAATATCTGAAGCTGAGGGTCACGAGAGTCAGCAAGAGACCACTATTTCAGGTGATTCCCATCTCAGAAAGCGTATAACTACATCCGCTGAGTCCTCAAAAACCAGGAATCTTCTGATTTTGTCGGCGACTGAGCTCAAACAGCCTACGATGTTCCTAGCAGATTCTGCAGCGGCCGTACCTGCAATTAAATCCGCAGAGGTAAAGGGAGATGTAAAGGTCCAGCCTGAAGGAAGAACATTACGAGGAATTTCGTACCAAAATATCGGAACACGTGGAAAAGTGGAAATTTATTTGAGAATTAGCAAGGAAAAATTAGGACACGTATTTCACGTTGTGCCAAATGAGTTTCCATGCTTCGGCAGAATTCCTGGAGAAGATTACTTTCAATCTCGAGACTTATAAATGACACGCGTTTACAACTTTTTCAACCTGAAAGATCAACTTTGATGAAGGCAAGAATGGATGTTAATGTTCGGTTTACAGCAGAGGTGGACAACCTCAGCTCTCGGAGCTACTCCAGCTCCCGACCACCATTAAGCGAAATTGTCCCAAGCCATAAATTTTATTGCTGCACCCCCTGGGGGCCCATGATGCCCTGCGCGTAGGTAACAGTAGATATTCGGCAGAAACATAGTGGTAGAAAAAGTGAAATAGAAAAATTTTCTATGTTACTAATGGAATTATTTCTTCAATTATTGCCTTTTTTGTTGTTATATGCTTTTGATTAGTTATTGGTTGATTTTAACCAATTGTATAATGAGAAATTTTGTACATTTCATACATTTCTTGAAATGGAAATATTGTTTGGAAAACAGTTATTAAATAAACTAAACTTGTCCACACATGTATACCCTTTCGGGCTTTTACATTTCCCACCCCCAGTTCCCCTTGTACCGCAATTACGCCGAGGGCCGAAGGGAAAACCTCATGGGAAAAAACCTTGGCCAGGTACAGTCGTCTCTTTCGAGACTACCGCTCGTACGATGAAAACCTGTGCAAGTTAGAGCGAATTCTATCTCTAAAAAACCCCTGGCATTTCCCCGACTGGGAATCGAACCCACGAATCTCATGTGCCAACCCCCTACGCTCTAACCGCACGGCCACCGCACGTCGGTCAGTTATTAAATATTATCATGTTGTTAATGGACCTGACTTGACATTCATTTTCAAACTTTTGATTTCTGTATTTCCCGCTCTCGATACCAAATTAAAATTCATAAATATCTCACAATCAAAAAAATTATCGGCATCCATTAATCTTTAATTGAGGATAAAATATTTCTTTCTCAAGTTCACGAGCATCCCACTTTCATTTCCACCGATGAATATTGAATCCAAACATTACACCAGAATCTGAAGACAGCACAACAATTTTGAAGCAATATCAAGGTACACCTTCTGGAGGTTATCCTGTGTCACGAGGACAAGCCTCGTTCCTGAAAACACGGTAAACAACCGAATAAAATTCATAATTAGATATATAGATGTGTATTTATTAGCAAAAATGCTATACAGATATGTTTCATACAATGTATAACAATATGTTGTATAAATGTAGCTCGAATCCGTGACTTATCAATATTATAATTATTTGTACATTCTGTTATGTCTACATACTATATCACGTTGTAATGGTTAATAAATTTCAACTATTCATCCAATTTGGTTATAGACATTTATCTTTAATTTGCTGCAGTAATTGCCGCTTAAATGTGCTTAAACATGTCAAGTCTCTGGTTTCCTTATTTAAACGGTTGTATAGCTGGAAACCATGATATTTCAGACTTTTACCACAGTTCTCAGTTCTTCTAGTTTGAAGCACTAGATTATTCTTAGGCTGGAAACAAAAGAGTTCAACCTTCCTTCCTCTTTAGTTCGTAAGTCAAAAATTGAAAAAACTATCCTCGACGATCTGGGAGGCTGGGACAGAGGGAATTCCACCATCAGATAACTCGGAGTATTGGGCAATCGGAGGTTAGATAACGACACTCCACCAGTGGCGGTTTCACACGTTGGAAAAAGGCCCTCAGTGGGAAGAAAACCACAGGAATCGGTACTGGAGAGATTTTCTCGTTACTAGTGAAAAGTACTAGAGAAAGTCACTAGTAATAGCAAGCGACATCCAATGCCGACCGAAAGAGCCGAGCGATGGCCAATCAGGCCGCTCCGAAAGTGAGGGAGACCAATCATCTAGTGGGAAGAAATGTGGTAGGGTGAGACCATGTTTTGGAACACTATGATAACGCTGACGACGGTTGTCACCTTTTTCGGAAATCCACTGTAAATCAATTAGTGGGCAGAGAGTTAATTTTCTTTTGTTGGTGTTTCGTACACCCGAGTCTTAAGGACGATTAGTGGATTATTGTATCAGACGATCTCTGACCACTTTTTGCTAGCGAAATTAAGTTCTCTCTCTCTCGTTCTGATAATTGTTTTAATTTACTTTGTATTAAATTTGTTAACAAAATTTCTATGAGTAGTCTTGCGACTTTTGTTCGACAATTTGTGTCGCAAGACTCATTCTTTTCTCGCCATTGAATTTAATTTCGATTTTCATAGTCTCAAGGTCTCATGACCTTCGGATTATTCTGTCTCTGGTTTTGTATTTATTTCGTGTATTTTTGATTGTCCGAGGTCACGTAGACTTATCGATTTTCGCGTTATCGTTTCAAGTCACTAAGTTATTTTGACAATTTATAACATTTAATTTCTGATTAATTTCTCTGACTTTTCCGACAGCAATTGAGTTTCGTAACTCCGTTGTTTTATTTAATTTATTATTTCCTTTTGACAATAGCAACTTGAGTCTTGTAACTCAGTTGTTTATTAATTACTTATTTCTGACTCATTTGACTGTTTTAACAATATTATTTAATTTTTTTTGTTGGTTGACTTCAGAAATCTTTACTAAATTCTTAATCGGACAACAGTGATATTATTTTATAAATTAAATTCGTGTCATGTAATGCTCGGTCGATTCAAGCGCCACGCTCTTTGTTTTCCAATTTAAAAACTGGACGAAGGGTTCCGTGAACCTTCGAAAATTACGTCGCACAACGCATTACAATTTCGATTTTAGGGGATTTTAATGACCTGGCGCCTGACTGAATTTTCTGATTTTATTTTTGGGGTGTTTTGGTGCCAGAGGACGGGCTAATGGACAAAGGGTTCCGTGAACCTTCGAAAATTACGTCGCACAACGCATTACAATTTCAATGTTTAATGGAAACGTGGGAGTAGCAGCGTGTACGAAATAGAGTCTAGTTAAACAGAAAGAGCGCCACGCGCTTTGTTTTCCAATTTAAAAACTGGAATTCAACGTAAAAAATCCTTAGTTGTATCGAGGGTAATTGTTCAAACATTGGCAGAAATTGATTATCTCTTGGTTACCTCAATAGTGAAAAATTATTTTATTTTAAATTCAAAAAATATGAAATGTCAGTTCTTTAAAATTCAACCAATAAATGTTCCGCCAGAACGTCAAAACGATAGTCAGGGGTAATTTTTATGTCAGCGACAGGCGGTGGCAGCACCTGACGGGCGCCCGTCTCTCGTTGACAATTGCCCGCGCGGAAAATCGTTACTTTTTCATCAGACACTTGTGGCGTGTGCAACGCGGTTTACCACACATTTTTCTTCCAGTCTTTCAGCAGTGATTTTATCATTTCTCTCGACCGTGTGTCGAATTGAAAACATCCCTACCACGTTAGTGTTGTTCTACGAGAATAAACCAATCGTTCCATCCAAAAACCAACCGTATAGGATCACACGATCTCGTATAACCTCGTGATTTCTCACCACGCTGCGAACTGCAACGTTAACGGAGAAACAACGTTCTCAACAACGAACAAACGTAATGATTTCCTTAATTTAAGGGTTAATTATTATGTGGCCATGTCACTTTTCAACTCGAACATTAGTACTCGTGTCGTTCTGAAGATGGCCTTATGTAAAAGCCATCTATGAGCTGCCAATGGACCCTTTTTCGCCTGATAGCCAGCCGGTCAAAAAAGAATTATTATCGGTACCGGTAGTTCAAAGTTAAAAGACTTATTGTCGGTAGTCGAAAATTCGGCTGGAAGGAAGAATACGAATAGTTTGTAAAACTAACGTTTAAACAATGCTATAGACGTCCAAGCAACATGCTGATGATTTATATCTCCACATTTGCATTTTATGATCATCGAACATTTCAAATTGGACACATATCGGCTTCAGACGATAATAAATCTCTCAGAGATGAGAAAAATATGGAAATATGAAAAAAATTTTCAACAGGGTCCAAAGGCCGATTTAGGATCTTTGGGGGAATGTTTTTCATCAAACAACGGTTGATTTCGCATATATTCACCTCCTCGACGGTGATAAACCTCTCAAAGGCGAGAATAATTTTAAAAAAAATGTTTTTCATGGCAGCTCAATACGTCGATCTAGGAAGATGAATAAGGATAATTATAAAATCTTAGAGATAAGGAAGATATTAAAATTAAAATCTAAAAAATTAAAAATTTTGCACCCAGATCCTAGGGGCTTGATCTAAGATCTTCCGAGGGAAGAAAGCGACTTGTTTTCAAAATTGATATTTTTCCTCATAAAAAGACATTGAACAAAGATCTATTGCACATTTAATCGCCTCGTAGATTATAATAGAACTGTCAAAAAGGGGGAAAATATAAAAACAAACAATATTTTTCAGATCATACAGAATAACATGAAATATTCCGTCAATCCTAATTCGAAACTAATTCGAAGCCTGGTTTTATACATACAAAGTCTGCGCAAAACGTAACTTTATGAGTATAGTGCGATGAAAAGGAATTCCGATAAGGAATTCTCATGCAAGTAAGGTTGATATCATTATGAGAGGTAATTATCGGTATATTCAATGGTGTCCACTGTTCTAGTGCAAAAAAATCAGCACATATTGAGAGATTTTGCGACGAAAATAATAGTCATTTTCGAAATCTACACTAAACTGTACCTAGCATGGTACTCTATGCAAGTGCAAAAAGTGCGTTACTTAGGGTTTGTCAAACATAATTTTGAGACTTTTTAAAAATCAACTGTTTTCATCATTCGGCCGAAAACCAATTCTATGACTCGTGTGGTTGTATCTCTCAGCTTTGCTTCGATCTGTAACCCCCACACTAGTCGAAAAGGGATTTCTAAGCCCTGTCCTATGAAAATAAGTCTTCCTGGGTTGTGTAATAAAGACCAGAATACAGATATAATAAACATGTATGGTAATTACTCAGACTCAGACATGCTCATTTAGTTAACCCAGTGTAGCAGGCCCAAATAAATAATTTATTAGTATGTTTCAAACAGATATGAAATCGAAGCAATTAAATTACCTCCATATTTCTCCTTCCTTGGAAATTTATCAGAACGACAATTCAATTACGAGAATAATTGTTGAGTTGCATGATGAAAACATACATATTGTGCACGTTTAACTGTAGGCTGGCTCTACATGGAAGACAAGCAACAAATGTCCTCCATTGAAGGCGTATTAGGAAGGAAGTATTCATGCGAAGGAAGTATTCATGCAACTCTCGACCAAGTGCTTTACGATTAGTATCAAATAATATTTTTTCGTATAAAAACGATCCAATGTGAAATTCATTTTTTCATGTTCTACTCTCTACTGACCATGCGATTGAAACTAAAGATCAACTGAGTTGTTTCTCAATGTAAATTCCCTCATTATAACAATGAATATATCGAATTACCGGAGTAATTCGTAAATAGTATGGTCCAAACAGGTTTTATGGGAGAACATATCATTCCACACAATAAAATAAGTTAATCAAACGTCTGCTTGATGGAGACCGTGTTATTATAACTTATACAATCATCATACGTTGAATACGGTCACCACAGCGATAGCCAAAATTATTAATTAATTTTAAAGCAATGTCCAGAAAAAAAGTGCATAAGGTATTCTAAAATCGTTGTAATTGCACGCAGGGCTAAAATTAACATAAAAAACTTTCTCTGAAAAATTGTTATTTTTACACTGTTTTATTTTGTTGTGTCGCCAATGCACGTGTTGTTTTTTTGTTTCTTATAATTAAATCCATGAAAAAATTCGTGCGTTAATTACTGCGATTTTTTGTGGATTTTCAAAGAATATTTTTTTCATTTTAAAGCAGTACCCGGGGGAGAAGCCCATACGATGAGGAAAGAACTACTTTTGATAAGAATATTCTCTTGATACTAGAAAATATTCTCTTGTCAATTTTTAAAATCGCAAAATGCCCTGATAAAGTATTCCACTTTTACACTGAGAGGGTTTTGTTTGGGAACTGTATAGGTTATGCCGATGAAATCTCCAAAAATCTGACATTTACTTCAACCTCAATTTTTTTATCCCTTGAGTAGTCGATATGGAGAGAATTACCGACACTACATTCAATCCCATTTTTTTTCCAGT